TCAGAAGGAGGATGTGGATTCCGTCAGGGCCAGGCCCCTTATTAGGATAGCGTAGTATAGCCTCCATTACATCGTTGGGGCGTATGACGGGAGTTACATCTGGCGAGAGTTTGGTATCCGGTGAAACAACGTACGGATTCGTGGAGTTGAATAGGTCCTCAAAGTAGCCTGTGAGAGTGGCGCCTGTGTCGTCGGCACCCGGTATGCAGGGATGGCGTGGGGATTATCGTTGGTACGCAATATCTTGGAACATTTGGGTATTGCTTTGGTCGGTCAGACGTGGGCGGAACGAGTGGTTTGGCAGCCGTTGTACCCAAGGCGTTCTTAGTAATAGCTTCCATAACAGTGTGAACTCTGCGTATTACTTTCTCCATTGCTTTCCAAAAGTAATTCCTATGACTATACACACTTTTCACATGGCCTCTTTCTGTCGCGGTGAAGTTCTTGGCCGCTTTGCTGTTATCTAGACCTTCCTCATACTCAAGCCACCGTCTCCACAGTGTCTTGAGTCCTTTACACAACTTTACCTCTCGTATTGGTGCTTGGCTATTGTGATCTAGATGTGCATCATTGTTTTGTTGTTGCCGATTGTTTTGTTGCTGAATATTTTGCTGTTCATTTTGTGCGTTCGGATACTGTGCATTACGTCGTGCTCGATATGACAAGTCCAAGTGATGAAATTTTGTTGCCATGTCTGTCCTCATTCTCTGTACTGTTCTTCTTAGTCTAGTGTTTTGTGCAACGTATTCGGCCTTGTCTTCTTCCATCATCTGTTCATATGACAAATATCAGCCGTGAGTCCCATTATTTTGTTGTGTAAGTCTTGTACATTTAAGTGTTGTATACTCTCGACTTCCTGTGCGCATGTGATCTCTTGCATTTTGAATCCATCGTTGCCATTTCTTATAATCAATATTTGCACTTTTTTTCTCACTAATTGCGCTAGATCATCATTTTTCTCAACGTCGAATGTGTTATGAATGTGATGGATGACGTGTTCTTTGAAGGATTCAGCCACCAAGACACTCCCAGTTGTTACTAGGTGTACTCCAACTATAGAAAACAAACGTTTGTGTGTTTGATGTATATTTGGTAGATCATATAAGCCTGGAATAACACCCTCTAAAAAACTATATTATCTATGATATCAGCTCGCTGATTCACATAATATATACAAGGTCCTCTACGACCACAAAGTAACTCTGATACCTTCGCATTAGGATAAGGTATAAGCTTATTACTCTATGTATCAACCTGTATTTTCTTTCGACGTCGACGCAATCCCTCAGAATTTAGTGCCCAACGCCTTCTAGCTTCAGCATCATTCTTGGTACTACCTCGACATTGTGCGTACGTACAAGGGCCTTATCAAAAACTATCTGTTCCGATGTCTAGTATGGATCCCTGAGCCTCAAAGGTATCTGTAGTTATTGTTCGGTTAAGTGCACTGCGTGAAAAGTCGGTTTTCAGTACATCATCGCGGCCTGTATTTGCGTTTGAAGTAAACATCCACTCAAGCTCTAGTGTCGATGGATCAGCTTGGTCCTCAAGTCTTTCTATCAGGTGACCGATGAGCCCAGCCAGTGCACACCTAATATTGTCGAGACACCTGATCCTTTTTGCAATATTCGTGCTCCGCATTTCTTCAATATATAAAGCATCCTGAATCCCAGATACAAACTTCAGATCGCTGTATTTAAGATTACATGCGTCATCTATACGACATACCAATTGGAACGTCCAGGGCCAAAGTCCGTGTAGAGATGCAGGTTTAAAGGCTGGATTTTCTAGATTGTTTTCAAAATATTCATATATTCAGCGTACTCGAGTGGTCTCTTTTCAGAACCAGGCTTGCCTTCACCGCGTAGTTCAAATCGTTCAATCTGTTTGATCAAGTCATTGACCTGTTGATATTTTGTGGGATTCCCCTTTTCATCAACACAGTCGCATTCATTGTTATTGCGATATTGCCTTCTTATCGTACTGAATACTTTTAGTTATTTTCAGTGTAGGTCTATCATCGAGCCCAGGTTCTTGAACTCCGAATGCAAGTTCACCAAAGTACCGGCACAAATCTTCTGGTTTGATGGCCAGAAGGATGTATCTCAGTGCAATATAGTTGTCTTTAAGATTGACATGCTGACTAAAATCATAGTCCGGTCTCAACCACCGTAAGAACTTACGGGCGATACTATCATATACTATTATATTTGCAGGGCTAGGCATGACTATACTGCAGATTTGTGTATGTGATTTGTGTGTGTATTCCTCAATATTCTATGTACGACTCAGTTTTTGTAAATTCCTTAAACGGGATATCCAGTTAATTTCATAGGCTGAGTTTACGATGCCCAATTGAATCCCGTCTGCAGCCAGAAAACAACGCGGGTCGCACAAAGTCGTAAAAACCGTACCTAAAGTAATATATATTTTGAGACTACGCTACAAATGATACTATGAATATTTAAATACAATGAAGACAAGGCCTGAAGGCTAACCTCATTACGTTTCCCGTTAAAACGCAAACAAACAAAAGTTTATCCTAAATATAGTCCTATGGGTTTACAAGTAGGTACGTTTGTTGAGGCCTAACTGTCACGAATTGTCCTGTTTTCACTATGTCAGTTGTGAATAGTTTCAAATCGCCTTTTCATTAAAAAAGGTCAATTTCTCAGGTGCAAATTTTGAATTTTCAAAGGTCGATTTACCCCCGACATACTTAAAAACGCTTAAAAAAGAACAAACCTTTTGCTTTAAAGTTTATCGCATATAGACAAAACGTATAGAGCTTTGCCTGAAGGCTGCAGGCCTAACCTCCAACCGGTTTCCGCTGAACCTTTTATAAATCGAATATTTAAATATACGTTTACGATCAACTTTTACCTCATGTGCGGTCCTTTGTATGCTCGTAAATATCGTTCACGATACGAATCAGTCCTATAAAAGAACTTTAGGCCCTTCTGATCACATTATAACCGTTATAACGTTTTATAATTGAATAAATATGCGTTTACGTTCAGCTTCTATCCTGTACCCCCATAAAGTTATGAGTAAGCCTGAAGCCTCTATGCTATTATTTATGAGGCGGTTCGGATGTGCTTCCGTTTTTTAGGCCCCCCCCCCTGTATTTTTGGACTTGAGACACATTTTGGACTTATAAATCTGTAGTACATATATACGTTTTTTGGGCCCTGCGCGAGCCCAAATCAGTCTCGGGGCTCTTAAATAGTCGTATAAATCAACATACAACCGGCAATACCACTTTTATTACAGTACATATTTGGTTTTGGTAGGCCTCAGATTCAGAATGAAATTGGGCCGGTGCTTATTGGACACTTTCTTTTTGGCGCAGCTTGCCTACCAATCGCTGTAGATTATCCAACACCTAATAAACGTATTTAGTTATTAGTATATACTTCATAATAAAGTAGCTTGAGCAGTTGAAACCGTATTTCTGAGGTGATCCTGGCAGGGTCAGGTCAATATTATAAGTCATAAGTCCCCCCCCCTTCGATTTTGGGCTCAAAATAAACCCTAAAACACGGAAGCACATCCGAACCGCCCAATATTTTTTTGTCGTCCTCTACTCATCTATTTAGCCTGATATTGACATCTCTCTATTTACTTCAACTCTTAAATAGAGGGGTTTCGAGGCTGTACTGAGTACTCATTGGTAGAGGTGATGTTATCGTGAGTTGCTGTTCGACTTTCCAACGAATGGGATCATCACATTCACCTTGCAAAATGGTACCTCAAGGGCCCAAGCCCAAGGGCCAAGGGCCAAGGGCCAAGGGCCAAGGGCCAAGGGCCCAAGATTTGAGATTTTGAGCTGTATTTTAAATACTCGACAACTGTCCGTTATTTTTTTATTTACGTGATTAGTGAGCACATGATAATTCTTTTAATTGTTTTTGTTTTAAAAACAAAAAGATAAAACACAGGTCGTCCCAGAAACAAATATGTATTTTTAAAAAATAATTAAATAGAGACTCTCGCTCAGTCTCAGACTCTCTAATATTTAAAATACTCTTTCTAAATAAATGTGGGTGTGAGTCTGTGACTCTGTGACTCTGTGTCTCTGTGATGAGAGTGAGAATAATTCAAAAAAACAAAAACAAAAACAAAATGTAGTAAATATAACCTCTACTCTAGAGTAAATTTGTATTTACAAATGTATAAATGTAGAGCGGGTCGTGAGAGTTGAGACAATTATCATTAAAACACGGTTGGGACGCCGCGGGGACTGAAAACAGGTGTATTAATATTTGTCACGTTCCAACTTCCATAGCCTTTTATTTAGTAGTAGGCTATGAGTACACGCCCAGCCCGACACTTGTCACAAAAACATAATTACTTCTGGAGGGCGGGGCTCCACCATGGGGGTCTACAAATAGGTCAAATAGTGTCACGGACTGATTTTGGCGCCAGACAAAAAAACGGTGATACTGTCGACAGGACTTGTTTTTAAAAAAAGAAGAAAAAGAAAAGCTTACGCTTTCAGTAATAAAATTACGGTGAGAGTCCGAGTATTTATTAGAAGAGACTGGAGAAACTGGAGAGTCTCTGACTCCCTCTTGTGTTTCGGGTTTTAGAGGTTTATTTTAGTGGTCTTACAGTTTACACTCAGCAGCTCGTAAACCCGGTTCCGAATTAAAACAAGTATTCAATTTTGAGTTGAGAACATTGTATTTGACTGACCGAGTGAAAGGAACAAGTCTGTTACCATTTACCACTTACCCCTCAGCTGTTCCAGACCCATATGGGTACAATATATATTATAAAAACAACAGAGTACCTTCGTTTTATATTCATTTAAATCGTGATATGGCGAAACCTGTCAGGACAGAACTGCACCATTTGTTTGAGATCGGGGTCAACAGCCAGGAGTACTCAGTACATACAACCTACACTATTACACGGAACGAAACAAATTCCGACTAATACGCTATCGGCTTTACGGACTGCGATACCGAGGGAGATACGATGACTACCATCCTCACTCATAGGTCATCATCACACACACTTGACGCTAACAACAGTACCCTACCTGCAACACATATATTGACATCATTCTAACTGAGCGTTTCAACTAAGACACGGGCAATGATCAAACCTTACAGGTTCACTTCTCTCTTGGTATGTTCTGGTAACTCCTCAAGTGTGTTGTTTTTGATGTGTGTGTCTCACGTTAGCGGTGCACCTTAAGGGTTCTTCATGCACTCAAAACGTTCTAAAATTACATACACCCAAGTATTACTTCCATCATGGGTAGTATATCACTTGTTATTCTCGCTCGTTGCCAGGCTGTTGTTGGTGTATGTGCTTTACACTTGTCTAATTTCATTCTCTATGATTTACAATAGTCTGTGTTCCATATCCTGACCAATTTGCTTCGCATAGAAAGCTATGTATATCTTATGAGAGGACGCTAGAGTTTCGAGATTTTGCTATAGTTTGCTATATTACAATTCTCTACTTATCCTGTCATCTTTGTCAGTATTGTCTCAATAACCCCTGATAGTCGGCACGCTACCTTTCACACCCATGTATTCTTACGCATTTTCGCGTTTGCGGATATATGTATACTCGTATACTAATCACACTTCGTCGGCCCCATCTATTCTTTCCTGTGTTTATTTGTGTGTACATTTGAACTTTATATATATATATATACACGCACACGCACACACATATTTATATATATTATATATATACTATATCCATACTATATATATATATATATATATATATATATATATATATATATATATATATATATATAATATATATATATATATATATATATATATATATATTCATATACATATACATATACATATGCATGTACATATTAATATAAATATACATATACGTTTATATTTACATATAATTTATACATATACATATGCGTATATGTGGCAGCTCGAACAGGTGGTACAGTACATACACACATATATGTCATTTTTCCGCACCGTTTTGTATGTACGTGTTCTTGCATATATTTGATTTCAATTGCGACCGTGGCCGGGTGTTCGTGCTATTGTTATGTACATTGACTTTGTTTATATATTAGGTAATTTTCTTTGCATGTACATAGACTCAGATATATGTATATGATAGTCCGAGTGTTTTCCTTTTCTATATTTTACATATTGTTGTAGTCTAAATAGTAGTGCCCTCTATCACTACCAATACACTATTCACCCACGCGTAGTACATTCGACTCTCCATTCCTCGCCTAATACGTCTTTATTATATACTAACGCATCTGCTATTGTCTTGTTCATTTCTTTCGCAGAACGCAGCGTCCCAGATGGAAGGGGGTGCACACACTGTCGTTGCCAATTACACCTCCCCCCTCGCTTCCCGAAACGTAGTGTAGTTTGGCGGTCTTCTCTAATAACTATATATATATATAACCGGCTTTTCCAAAGTTTAAATTAGGTACGTTTGCGTTCATGTTCGTGTGGTATGCCGTTTTGGTCTGGGATGTTTTGTTGCAAGAACGGGTCACAGTAGCGTCTGAATTTGTGTGTTGGTATGAGCGGCGCTGGGCAACTCGGGCCATGTATATGTATGGTGAAGTTCGGTATATTGTGATGCGCTCGAACATGGTATTCATATCTGTGTGTCTGTGCGTGTGCACCTGGTGTGTCTATCAACCTGTTTACATAGTCCATGCCTAGGGACAGTCCTCTATATATTGTATGTATGTGTGCGTGTATTGTCTATCAACCTGTTTACATAGTCCATACCTGGGGACAGTCCTCTATATATTGTATGTATGCATGTATGCGTGTATTGTCTATCAACCTGTTTACATAGTCCATGCCTAGGAACAGTCCTCTATATGTTGTATGTATGCATGTGTGCGTGTAATGTCTATCAACCTGTTTACATGGTGCATGCCTAGGGACAGTCCTCCGCATGTTATTGTATGTGTATTGTATGTGTGTATGTGTGCGTGTATTGTTATTGGGTGAGCAGAGTTGTTCCAGATGCGGGTGTGTTTCTACCTCAGTGTATCGCCATTTCTCTGACGGCGTACTCTCAGCATTGTTAACAATAGAAACCTCAGTGCGTATATGTACGGCAATTACACAGCGTTCATGATTTAACAAAAGACATACGTGCATATGTGATATTCGATTAAGCAACACACATGTTTTAATATAGGCATGTATACATCTGTGATCTTAAGTGCACATGGGTTATATTACCATCGAGCAGTCATGTTCTGTGTCATAGTATGTGAAAGTATATGCCAAATAGGGGATGAAACAGTCCTTCAATACAACACTGCCACGTGCGAGTGATGATTAGACCACGTATATGTATAAGTCATGTAAGTGTGTGCTTTTCTATTGTGCATGTATGTATATGTTTGCCACACTCTGATTAGCGTTATTTGTGTAGCATGCACAAACACAAACACTAACTGACACACACACACATACTTATATATATATATGCGTGTATATATGTATAAGTGTATTAATATGTATATATATATATATATATATATATATATACATATATCACGTTATATCACGTAGTATAGTTTAATTCATATGCTTGCACATGTATGTTGATAACTTCGTACAGGTGATTGAAACAATACCGTCACAGTAAATATGAATCCCATCAGCGTAGTCGAGCACAAGGGCATGCGGTTCGTCATCATGGACGCTCCTAGTAATTCTAATCTGCCGTCATATCTGCAGGTAAAAGTGTCGAATGGTGTCATATGTTTGATAGTACACGCACCTTTAAATTCGCACTCCTCTGGTGGTATGTTTTATAGCACAGTCCCACAAGTTGTGTGTAGTAGCTTTGTGCACTAGCAATAGGGTGATATCCGCTGCCAACAAAGTAATTGCTTATCACACACACACACATATATATATATATGTGTGTGTGTGTGTATGTATGTATATATATATATATATATATATACATATACATATACATATACATATACATATAATATATAGATATAATTTATATATATATAAAGAATTTTTTTAGATATGTGTCGCTTGTGTATGCAGAGAAGTCTTGCACTGATGTTACATATATGGTGGTTGAGCTAACCGTGCTTCATGGCGTTCAAATTGGGTACATATCTCTGAAGCACTTGTTTTCCATCATTCAATTTTGATGTTCAATCCGTGCATGCCTTCATTTTATCTGTCAATAATAGGAGTTGAAAAGGAACGGCGTTCAACACGTCGTCAGGGTGTGCGATCCCACATACGAAATAGAACTCCTTGAACGGGAGGGTATCCAGGTCCATGTATGTTAATCATATATATATATATACATACAAACATACATACATACATACATACACACATATATATATATATATATATTCATATATACATATATTTATATACATACAAATATTTATGTAATATATATATACGTTTATATTTATATATATACATATACATACACACACACACACACATATATATAT